AGTTAGAAATTCATGCTTTGTTTAAAGTGCACGTACACTCAAATATTAGAGGAGGTCCTGGGAGGAATGGAACAGGAAGCATGTTCTGCATCACAGTGCTAACTCCTTCCAGTTTGTGATCTTTCTAATTCTAGTAAGGAAGTTTAAAAGGGAGAATGGCATTGTTTTACTCAAAGTATTGCAGTTTTGGGATTTATGACAGGCTTGACTACTTTTTATCTCACTTTGGCTCCTTTGCTAAGCTGCTGGATATCTTGAATGAAGTGTGCTCCTGTCCTTATTTCTTCAGGCAGGGGAGGAAGCATACTGCGATATCATGGATGAGATTTGAAGGCGGAGTGCTCTTTTCTGTACTTGTATTTTCTTTCAGTGGAGTTTGAAATGTTGTAAATTGCTAACATCTGTGTTATGTGCCCTCTGCACATTCATAATCTGATTTTTTTTTGTTCTCAGCTCAGTTCATCAGAGTGACTTTGGCACAAATGAGAGTACTCAATACATCCTAAAATATCTCCCCTAGAAGGTAGTTAACCTCAGGTCTGCCTGCTCGCTGTTCAGGGCTGATTGGGCCTATGTTGCTGCTTGCATACACAATTTGAACCCATCCCATTACCTGCCTAACAAAGTGGGAGAGCAAAATATATTCAGCAGAGTCATTATGGGAGCCACCTTCTGGAGATCTGTAAATAAGATGCTGTTTGCTGTGCAGTGTGCATGCAGGGAGGCTGAGATAAAGTCCCAAGTCTGATGCTATCTTCTGAATTGATTAGGCTTTCATGAGCAGACAATTTCCTTGCTCCAAATTTCTACTTGTCTGTCTAAACCTGGAGAGAGTTTGGTCAAAGGGTAGCCTAAAGTTGAGCATATTAGATCTTTCACTGGTATGATCTGGCGTAGATCTGAATACATCAAGTAGAGAAACAAATGTGTGTGTGCAGGGTTATTGACCAACTGTTGTATTTCAGCATAGTTGCACGACATTTTCCTGAGCTACCCCTTAAACAGCTTTTGAGATCCTTATGAATGAAAAAGTTGTATATAAAAAAAAAATAAATCATTTGCTTTGTATTTTTTTGTTTGTTTCTTTTTTCCCTGAGGGAGTTACACTTCCAAATTCCAGATATCAGCAGCAGCTTTGAGATTTGAACATCTTTTGAAAGTTTTCTTCTTTGTATATGTTATTGCTAATGCAGAACTAAATTGGAATTATATTTATTCGCCTTCAGCATAACCCAAGCACTGGGCTGGCCAGACCCTGCTCTGAACCGCTGCAGCTGTTCTTATGTCGCCTCTTCATGTGAGTGGGACCTGCCTTTGCTGGCTCATTAAAAAGCCACATAAAATATTACTGCGGTGCCAGAGTCTGTGTCACAGCGGGGCACCACGCAGCCAGGCATCATGAAACAAGCTTGGTCCGAGAGGCAGCCCAGCCCGTGGCAAGCTGTTAACCTCACAGCCACTAGTGCTGGGGAACAGGCTGTGTTTTGCCTTCAAGAAGCTGGTGGCAATATCTGGTGCTAATGGAGCTTTTTGATTTATAAGCCCCATATAATGCCAGAAGCAAAATTTCCCAGGTAAATCATCAGTCTGCTGTGTTTAGAGGGCTTGTGAGATTTCAGTGTTATGCTCCCTCCTGGAGCAACTGTGTTGCATGGGAAATGTCATGTGGGTGCTTTGTTTTCTGTGCTGGTTTGTCGTTTTGTTCCTGTGAATTAATCCCTGTCAGCAACAAGTTGTAATAGAGGCTGTTTCTCAAGAGGAAGTATTTCTGCCGTTTTCACCAATAACTTTACTGTTAATCAATATTTGAACCACCAGGGCTAAGAAATCTGGTACTGCATCCTTGTTTCATCTTCTTTAATGGATAGATTATTTCTGTGTCAGCTGTGGATCTGAGTTTTCAAGTGACCATCTGTGCAATTGGTGTTATTCAATCAATGGTCTACAGCCCACAGGTGCTCCATAAAACATCGGAAGGTGATCTGTAGAGCAGTGGGAGTTGAAAACAAAAATCAAAGCAATCCTAAAGGCATACGCAGTGATGCCCTGCAGTTAGCAACAAGCAGCGATGTGCTGGCTGCATGCAAAACCAGCTCAAAGGTGCAGGTCGATGTGTTGCCTGTGGATTTTTTTTTTTTTTGCCAAAAGTTTCAGTGGCTCTTTGGTTATTAGAGAAGCTTGATAAACACTGCTCTAAAGGATGCATTTGTTTTATGTAGAGTTTATTTTTACTGACTTAATTAGTTTAGCATGGGAAGAATGTTTAGAAAGCTCTGTGTCAGGTTGTATTGTGACTGTGTTGGAGTATGGGTGTTGGCAATTCTGGCTTGTCCTTGAGGTGTCGTGAAAGAAATGTGCTGGCACAGGTGCCTGTGGGTGAGCACCTGGGTCTGCTTACAGACAGCAGGGTACAGCTGCCTCAGTTTTACTTGGCACAAGCACAAGACTCCTTTGACTGCACAAGAGGCCACTGGAGCGTGCTGCACGCACCATCTGCCTGGAGCAGGGGACTGCCTCTGTGAGCTGTGGTGATGCTCCTGAGTGGTGTGCATGGGGGTGTGGTTTGCATGAGCTTTGCAAAACAAACAAACAAACAACATCAAATAAAATAGAATAAAATAATTATAATAATAAAATATAATAAAATAATAATAAAATAGAACAAAATAATAATAATAATAGCAATAATAATAATAATAATAATAATAATAACATTCCTTACTGGTTTACCTGTGAGAAGGATGTCAGAACAGCCCTTAGCAGCAACTATGGGTGGTTGTAAGACATCTCTGCAATTTTCCAGAGATGGAAAATGTGGATGACTTCCACAAGGGCCCACTGGTCACTGAGTGGTACTGTGTCAGCACAGGCTACGTTCTTACCCACTTCACCAGCAGAAATGTGCGGACTGCTCAGTTTGCCCTCTGTTGGTACAGATCACCTAGTTCCCATTACTTCCTCATTGCAAGGAGGTATTTCTAGAGGTGCGATGCTTTTCAATATGGTCTCCCAGAATGTTTTCTTTTTCATATAAACAAGAAAATTATTAGCTTGTGGACTGTGATACAATGTGCAGTACTGACAGCCCTACAGTATTAGAGGATTATGAGAAAAAAAGCAACACAGACCCTGAAATTGTTTCACAGTACTGCTATATTAAGGTGTTCTTTTTCTTTTGTCTCTTAATTTTCACCTTTTGCTTGCATTCTAGTCATTACATTTTATGGTTTTTTTTTGTTTTTTTTTTTTTTTCTTTCACAACTGGGAGGACTTGAAACTTTTTGCTCCCACTCTTTTCTTCTTTCTTCTTCCTTTTTTTTTTTTTTCTTTATGAAAGGTGAGGTTTTTACATAATCACAGGATTTCAGGAAATGAGCTTTCTAAACATACAAACAACACTGCCATTCGTCCATCCACCTGATTATATCTGTGAGTGTCATAATAAAAATGTGAATGCTGCCACAACTCTGACTGTGAGATTTATTCTCTGCTGACAGTTTCATTACTGAGAAGAATAAGATCATTTCACTTGAAATACAAGGGAAAAAAAAAACTCTGAAATTATCTCTGCTGGAATTTGAATTTGTCTGCCATCTAGAAAGCAGTATGAGTAAGCCCAGGACATCTTGAAGTGCTACTTGTGGCACTTCTCAAAACATATCCGATGGCTGCTGAAATTCTGTATGTGGTTAACTTTGAATTAAGACCAGCAAGAATCCCCATCCAGAAGGTTTTAATTATATAATATAGCTGAATCTGAAAGAGGTTAGTTAACCATCACAAAATCCTTGTAGAAAACAAGATCTTGTGCAGAGAAAGTTAATTATAAGAGATACAGGATAAACAAAGCTTTGGGGACAATTGGGTTTCTGTAGCAGAATTATATACCCTTTTCAGCCTGATAAGCTTCTAACAAATCCCATGTTTTGAAGGGTTCTTCACTTTATTGAGGTAGCTGGGGTTGTAGAGATTGTTTCAGTAAGATTATTCATCTTCAGAGCTGAGCAAAACAGCAATGAAATGCACTTGCTAACCATGTTTTAGGGATTGAGTAGTATGCTATTTTTTGCAATAATGATTGAGCAGAAAATAAGGCTTAGCGCATATAGGAGATTTTTTCCAGTTCAGTGTTTTTAAGGTGAAATGAAAAAAAGTGTGTTAAGGTTTCAAGGTATTCTGCCTTATAAAGATTCAAGAGTACTTTTATTGAATGTAGTTGTAAAAAACAGTGATACACTAGGTTTAGTAATGCATGATCTTCATTTTTTATTTTTTATTTTTATAATTTTTAACAACATGTCTTGGCAAAAAAATGAACATTTGAGTAAAAATTCAAAGAGAGAATTTCCTTTTATTGAGTGTTAATTCTGAGTAGGGACATTAATTTTGGCTTGCAGTTGTAGCAATTAATCGAATAGTCAAGAAAAGAAAGTTTAATTATTACTGTTTGTGCAGGCTTTAATTCTCATGAGTGCAAGCTGTCAAACTGCTGACTGTCATGTGTCCTGACTCAGGCTTTCATCTCTTCCTGTGTCTTTCTGAGTTTTCTGTTGCATGTGTACATGTCCTGTTTGCCTTACCAAGCTCTCTCCAATCTCAGTGCCTTGTGTTCACCTCTTTCTGCTGACCTGAATGCACCAATGAGCCTTTCACACTGAATGCACACTGAGCCTTGCTGTACTGAAGGGACTGTGGGTTTGTCAGAGGCTGGCGGAGTATTCTGGTGCTTAGGAATATCCTGGGCTTGGAGAAATGCTTGTGGTATCTTCTGTAATCCCATCTACAATTTGCTTTTGCAACCCTGTATGTGTTCCTCCACACTGCTGAGATGCTTTGTGTGCTGTCTCCTTCCTTTCTCACTGCAGAAGACACACAGCGCTTGGAAGAAAACAATCAAAATAATTTTAAGTAATTTGTAAGAACAAGAATCAGGGAAGTGAGTGGCAGTTTACATCCTTAATTCTGAACTCAGTGCTCACCAAAGATTTCTGTTGTTCCAGGTTTTCACAGGGAACAGCAATGCTGACAGTGTGGTTCACCACAAGCTCCTGCACTCCATGAAAGCCCGATTCTTGCGCTTCGTCCCTCTGAAGTGGAATGTCGGTGGGCAGATAGGACTGAGAGTGGAGGTCTTCGGCTGCTCCTATAGTAAGTGGCAAAGTCCTAACTCACATTTTCTGAAAGAGCTTTTGTTGGTGCTGTCAGTGCTGCAGGAGGGATGCATCAGAGTATGAATTAAAATGCAACATGGAATACGTAGTCATTTATTTTTTCAGTCTTTCTTGTCTTGTCTTTCTGCATGGGGATGTGCTAGCCCATCTAGCTCAGCTGCTGAAGCATTCCCAGAGCTAAGCCCAACACAGTGATCTGCTGCTGCTTGTGAGCACAAGGTGGTCTAATGCCGTGGAACCTCCTGCCCCAGTGAAGGACACAGAGCTACTTGGGATCTTCGTATAGGGTTTAATTTAGGAATGATACTACCATCTGCTTAAGTGTATTTTTAGTATGTAGTAGTTTATTTTTGTTTTTAAGGCATGTTATCTAGTTGAGGAGAGTGGTGCAGCTTGTGCAGCTAGTATTTCTATTTTAGGCTGATGATTTCATAGCTTCAGAGAGAATTTTGCTGCTTTATCATTTTTGCATGGGAGTTTTCTTCCATGCTTTTCTTCAAGATATGGTGAATATCTTCTGAGACACTATCTGTAACACTTTGTCATGTGGGCTTTGGAGCAGCTTATGAACACTGTTACCTGCGGGTATTTCATCTGTGTAGTTATCTCTGTGTACTGCAGATATATGACCTACGACCATGGAAGAGTGTGGAAGTAAAGAAAAAGAACCAGTGTTGCTCCCAGGCATAAAATGAAGACAAGTGCACGAGGAAACACAAATCTAGTATTTGTTTCACTGGTGGCTGTGGTTTTATTTCTGAAATGTGACTTTATAGTGTTCAGAGACACTGCTGGAGACAGGTAAAATTTTACTGGGGAGTTGAGGGGATTTGCAAGCTTTGGCCAGGAAATTCAATGTGGTGTGGCATAGATCACCATCATGTGATGCTACTGTAATTGTACATCTCCCTCTTTAGATCAGGTCCTTATCTCCTCCTCGGATGTGTAGAAAAGGGATTGTAAATAAAAAAGTGGAAAAACTCCTAATTGGGACAGTTATTGGATTCATCTGAGCTGTATCAAAGTGCCAGTTGTCTTAAAACTTTTGATTCACATGATTCCACTGAATTGAGAGCACACTCCTGGACTCTCAGTGGCTTCATCAGCACTCTCAGGCTTTACAGACAATTCACTGTGGTTTTGCCTGTAGAATCTTGTTATAGAATCATAGAAGCCAGGTGAAGGCCAGGACTATAGTCTGCGTTGATCCAGAAGTTCCGTTCAGCTTTTTTTTTTTTTTTTAAGATGCTGCTTCTCCATCTACTTGGATGCTCAGGCACTATGGACTATTCATTTAAGTACAGACCTGCAGTGTCCTGATCTGGACAGGTAGCTACTTATGCCAAGAGATCTTTTTCACTCCCACCAGTGGATGTGTAAACTGAAACCTGCAAATCAAAACCAACTGCCCTTGATGTCATCATTCCAGAACAGCTATATCATCTATTCCCAAGGAACTTTCTTTCATTACAGTGACCAAACCTCTGCTATAAAAAATGTAGTCCAAATAGACTTTCTGCAAATAAAAACTGGAACTGAAGATGGAAATTTTTTCAGCTGAATGTGATTTGGTGCTCTCCACGTGAAATACTATATGGGCACTACCTCCATGTCAGATTGTGGTTGTATCTTCTGTGATATAAAGAAGACTTCAGAGTGACTTGCTGGCTGAGTTTCCTTGTGCTGATATCATCTAAGTCTTCCTCTTTATCCTGTACCCTGCAGTTACTGGAAATAAAAATGGTTGTAGAGAATTAAGGTGTGAGATTGAAGCAAGGCAGAAAAGAAATAAAGGGATTCATAAAAGTTTTACAGGGTGTTGAAATATTCATTCCATTTATATAAATGTGCCATTCAGATTTCTGTCTGGCAAATTGTGTATGCCAAGCAATACCTGTCTACAAGTTTTGCTTATATAGCTTCACAGTCTTGGCTACTCCTAACCCAGGCGTTCTAGCAGTGTACGAAGATGTATGATCATTTATAAAATGTCATCTTTACTGTTAAACTGACAGAATGTCTGCAGCAGATCCTGAGCTGGTGTACACCTACATAATGCATTTTGTAATGCTCGACAGCATGCAGACTCATCCACCATGTTCAATCCTTGCACAGGAAACATATAAATAATTTGAAAAAAGTTAAAAGAAAAGACATAAAATCACTAGAGGCAGTAGGGGACAAGTAAGGGAGAAAATTGAGCTTAAGGAAGAACAAATGGCCCAAATGTACAGCATCTCTAAGAGATGAGCCTTCATGCAAACGTCTGTGTGTATAAAAGAAGGGATGTGAGGCTGGAAGTAGGAACAGCATTCTAATCACCTACCGGTACCAAAGGGTTAAGATGATACAAATTAATCTGTAAGAACCTGATTCCCAGTTATGCCCAATCCTCTCTATGCTGTTGTAATGATTTAAAGGCTTTAAGTAAACAAACCCAGAGTACTTGCTCTTAAGTCCACTAAAGTTGAAGACAGTTTTTCCACCAGTATTTTTGCTTTTATTCCAGTTGTGAAGCATATCATAAAAAGAGAACACATTTATGGGGAAAACAGGTGAACCAGATCCTGCACAAATATACATCTGCAACCACTGGATGATTTCTACCTCTTAAACTACTTGTGATATCAGGTTAAAATTCAGGTGATGCTGGACTTTTGTCTGTATATTCCACCTTTTAAGCAACTGCTGCCCCAAAGTGTGGTACCTGATCTGGAAACAGAGTTGCTTTGTAGTGATGTATTCTGGGCAGAAAGTTGCAGAAGCAATGATTTACAGGCAAGCTGGAGATTCTTTTTGTGCAAGTGGCAGCATTCATTGGATGGCTTAAATAAAAGTTTGGGGATACTGACATTTGAATTTAATGTGCTTCTGTACATCTGTTAAAATGCGGGACTACTGCCAAACATGAATACGAGCACCTCACTGCTACACCAAGGCATGCAAAATGACCTGTGGTTCCTTAGATTGTCTCCGATCTCATCAGCTCCTTGTTGACATTGAGTATTTGAGCAGAAGATGGCAGCTGTAGGAGAGGTTTGTGGCTTTGCTGCTTAAGCATTTTTGTGACGGCAGAGCTGGGTGTGACACTCGTGCCTGTGCAAGGCTCTGACCTCCAGTTGTGGAGCGTGCCTGTGCTGTGCAGCACACTGCTGAACAGGTCCCAGGAGCACAACCTTGTGCTAACTTCTGGCAAAGGTAGCTTTCAACAATGGCTGTGTAGTAGGAGGGAGATGGAAGGCATCAGGTCTTGTAGGTCACAGAGTTTCTGCCAGAACACGGTAACAACAAAATATCAAATGATCATATTAGAGATTAACTGCAATATACACTAGATGACAAAGTGGCTGACTTACCATGTGACTGAACTGTGCTGCTGAATGGAACTCGTTGTAGTTCATTACTCCTGGGATGATTAATATACAATTATGAATTTATCTCAAACAGTAGTCTGTCAAAAGAGCTGGCTGCCAGCTGATATTGGTTCATTGGAACACAAATACATATTTTTACCAGCAAAGCTTTTTCAGGCCTATGAGTTTGCTTGACCCTATCCTATATAGATCAAAGTTCATGTGAAACAAAGCACTCAGGGCTGTCAGAGGACACATGCTAGTTGCTGTTTTCCTTCTCACACTGCAAGTAGGTATTTAAATTAAATTTAATTACATCTATTGGAAATTCCTGCAAGATTCCATCTCACATCCTCAAAATAGGTACTAAAATAGGAATGAAATGGTCTTGATTTGAAAGAGCATCCTGTTCAGAAAAAGGGATGTATGATGCCTTAAATGGAAACTTCCGTTAAGAGGTGTGCATTAGCTCTCGATGGCCATTTGTAGCAGAGACTCATAACAGATAACTGGAGCTGCAACAGAGCTAGTGTTCAGACAATGGCAAACCAATTGCTTTGGATGTTGGGGAGCATGGGACTATCTTTATACTTGGGAATAGTCTTGTTAGCTTAGCAGAGGGGAAAAAAAATCTGCTGACACAATTGCTTTTATAGGATAAGATTTATAGCTGCATTGAAGATGCTGATCATATTCTGTAACTGGTTAACGGCCCAAAATGCATCAGCAGGATCAGGGGTATGTTCATTTAACAGGCTGGGAAAGCACAGGAGAAACAATGATAGGGTGTGAGATAGGGTATCTTCTGCCTTTGAGAGATGAGTTTTTCATTTGCAGTTCAGGACTTAAATTTCTCATCTTTTGCTCTCGTTGCTCCAGGGAATATGATCTGATATTGTGTTTTTAGATGAAATGATTCTTGATCTCTTTTTTCTCTTTCTCTTCCCTACCTCCCACCTTTCCCTCCTTTGTCTTTTGATAAGATGGAAAAGAACACATTACAGAGAACCACTGTCTGTCTGAAGGCACTGACCAGTAGTGTTTGTAACCACCTGTGTAAGACAAATACCCAAAGGATCGCTTACCAGGAGTCAGACATAGATTTGTGATAGGGTCAGAGCTGCCTAGCAGAACAGTCACCTCTGAGGTACTCGTTTACATTCATCCCTTGGGATGCCTGTGTGAGAGGGCTGTGGAGAGGGAGGTCAGGTTGCTTCAGACTACCTGAAACCAGCAAGTCATGACCAGCCAGGAGGGATGTCTACTCAGACAGGGAACAGAGCTCCTACCTCCTACAGGGAGCTAAGGCTTCTGTTCATTGATGTGGGTGCCAGAATAAGAGTTTTTGTCTCAAATTGAAACTGTTCCTTGAGGATATTTTGGAATAATTTTGCCTAGTATGTGGCTACTTTTTCCAAAATCACTAGGGAGGATCATCTTTTTAAGAATAAATGAGTATCCTCTGTGCTGCCTCCTGTCTCCTTGCTGCACAGGTAAACTCTTTACTCTCACCTTGCTCACAACCTGTCTTCTGTTAGTCTAACTAGTCTCATAGGTCGAGTCCTCTGGTCGCATGTTGCCATTTTTATTTATTTACTTATTATTATTATTATTTACAGGCTGAATTAGCCTGATAATCCACCTTCAACTGGCTGTTTCCAACCACCTCCAAGTGACTTTAATGTTAGGATCTATGTTGGGAAACCAAATTGAAGTGGAATAAAGTAACCAGCTCCCCTTGAGCCACAACCTCTAATGAATTTAAGAAAGGCTTGATGAATTTCTATTGTATGGAGACTTCTTCAGCTGTGAGCAGAAAGATGTATGTATTTACAGCAGAGGAGTCTGTTAGAATTGTGGGTCAGAAAAGAATAACAAGGAAGAAACTTTTACCTGGTCTCACTTTCGATGAATTTTGTAGCTTTGTTGGTGGAGGACAGCATAAGAAAGTATGAAGACTGAATAAAGTCTCTCTTCAGTAAGTGCAAGTAAACCAGTGGGTAGTGCAGAATAAAACCACGTGGTTTTAGTTTGTTATTTCTACAGATTTTCTGAGACTTACAAAATTTCAAATCCTTGTTCTCTTGCACAAGTGGATTACAAGCATGTGTGGGCTCTAAATAAACACCGAGCAATCAAGCAAATTTTCTGCAGTGATTGCATTAGAATTGTGCTAGATCTTTCAGTTTTTAACGGGAAGCCAATGATTTGTTGTCATGCAAACTGCCACTAATGACTTTTGGAAGCCAGTGTTAGCATTTATTTGACATATTTCCATTTCATTCAAGGCTATTTATTGGTCAGTGTCCTCACAAGTGATAATTAGTGAAGCAGAATTTTTCTGAAGCAGGTTTTCCTTTGTATTACACCCTGTAAGTGGTGATATCAGAACTGTTCTAGAAATTGCATGTTACGTTGTGGCTTAGCGGAGAGATAAGAACTAGGAGTGAAGTGTGAATTCAGACTGAGAGCCTGGATTATTTGGGGTGAGGATCTTGAAAGAAAAAAAGACTGCTACACGAAACCACTGAATCATTTCTCTCTTTCTCTTGCAGCATCTTTGTTTTGGACACTTGGCAGGAAACTCTACTTTAACCACGAAATGCACTGAAAATCAAATACTATATATATTTTCTAAGCTATTTCTCAATTCCTGCCTGTGTTAAAACGAAACTGGTTTTATTATGCACTTACAATTCACTTTTTAAACAACTTGAAGTATTTAATCTAGCTAGAGAAAATTCATAAGAACTAAACCATGAATTGAATTTTCTTTGTAGAAACTGGCAGTCAAAGTGTCAATAGAGAGAAAGCAGCAGTTCTAGGGAGGGGGAGGGTGAACTTGAACACCTAAATCAAAAGTAAAAACAGGGCAAGCAGATGGCATAAATACTTCTGTAACAATACTTCCTACAGCAACAACTGTTACACTTGTGATTCTAAACAGCATTTTGTAATTCTAACAACATAAGATAAGAAGTTAGTCTAGTTTATTCTGTAGTAGATTTTTTTTTCCCAGGATAATTTGTAGTTTCATTCTCTGAATATTTATTTATTTATTTATTTTAATGGAATCAGTTTTGGAGTGATAGAATGTCTCAAGAAATTTAAATTTTGAACTACCTGCAAGTTTGTAGTGTGCTGTCAAACTTTTGTAGAAATTGTTATTCTGACATGCAGAAGTTATGAATGATGCTTTCTGTAGTAACAAATCATTAACAGGTGTTTATTTTCTAAGTGTGTAGAAAAAAATCTTTAAATTTGGTGCAGTTTAAAAATAAAAAAAAAAAAAAAGAGAGAGGGGGAGATCCACAACTATTATCCCTGTTTTTTTTTAAAGAAGAAAAAGTGAAACTACCATTAAATCTCAAAAGGGTGGAAGAACTCTCAAGGTAGCTTAAGTGAATTAAAACACTAGCTTTAATCATAATACAGTTGCTGACCAGGTAGTCTTGATCCTCTTACTTACGGACCTTTCAGATACTTTTCAAAAGAAAATGAAACAAACAAACAAACAAACCAACCTGCTTTAAATTATCATTAAAGTATGTGGTTTGCAAACAAAGATAGCCTATGCTCTTTCTTCTTCTTCACTGAAAATATATGCTTTGTGTTTATATATGTATCCCAGTAGTTATGTAGAATGTTAAATGTTTGTTCTGAGTTTTTGTTTTGTTTTGTTTTGATTTTCTTCTGGTGTTCTTATTTTTTATTATTTTTCTTAAGAAAAGGAAATACCAATTGATTTATTACTTACAAGTACTTATTTTATCCATGATTTTTAACAAATTGCATTTGGATAAATTTAGATATCCAAATTGCATTTGGATAACTTAGAATTGAGTTAATATATGTCAGTCACATTTGAATATGATGAATTAGTTAAAAATATTTAAAACTATGTGAAATGCTCTGATAATGTAAAGAAGGTGAAGGGATAATAATAAAAAAAAAGCGGGGAAGAGGGAAGAAAATAAAAATAATAAAAAAAAAAAAGCAAACACAAGTTTACTAAAAATCTGTTTTGCTTAAAATGTCAGTTTGTTATGTAAAGAGAGTACTGTATTTTGCTGCTGCCACAGGAAATTTCAATTGAAGAACTGACAGCTTTTTTCCCATCACAATGATCAGGTTTTGGAGGCTGGCTGAAGAGGAAAATATACTTCTAATAGGATTTTTGAAGGTGTATAATCAGGTTAGATGCACAGTTCCCATGAAATCCCTTCAAAAGTTTTTTGAATTGGTATTTGGAAATTGTTGCCAGCCTAGTCAATTTGCATGCAGAAACATGGTTGATAAATGCCCATCACAAACAAGCAGCCAGCCCTAGAGGCTAAGATGATGCCTATTTGGATGCAAAGGTAGATGCGGGCATGGCCAACATGCAGAAACAGCTCAACAGACACTTCTGAAGCTAGAAAAAGTGAGTGGAGTACGAACTGAAGTGTTCGAAGTAATGAATAATATGCTGTGTGTGTTTAAGAGACAAACAACAAACATGACAAGGGATGCTCTGGAGATCTGAATACAATGGAAAGCGCCTGGTCTGCTTTAAAAAGTAAAGTAAGAAAACAAATCTTGCATGAGAACGAGGAGGAAAAGTGCAGAGGAATTCTGTTCTAGCATTCCTTATAACCTGAACAGAGAGGATTGGAAATGGATGAAATGTAATATCAGGGTCACACAGGTGCCATTACAACCTGTAGATGTACACTTTTCTAATCAATTATTTAAATGTTCCCTCTCCTGATGCTGTCCCTCTTCATTTTGCCATTTTCTTTCTCCCAGAGTCAGATATTGCAGACTTCGACGGCAGAAGTTCCCTCCTCTACAGGTTCAATCAGAAGCTTATGAGCACATTCAAAGATGTGGTTTCCTTGAAGTTCAAGAGCATGCAGGGGGATGGAGTCTTATTCCATGGAGAAGGACAGCGTGGAGACTACATTACCTTAGAAATGCAGAAAGGAAAGCTCTCATTGCACATCAACCTGGGTAAGAACAGTTAGGATTATTGGTGCACATATTGCTCTAACAAGGATTGTTTCAAGTTGCTTTTATCAATATGTTATTTATATTAAGCAGTATCTAGCAATTTCAGCTCAGACCAGCAACACCTGCTGTGTGCTTCAGGGAACTCAGAGTTTAAATACTGGTCAGAGAGGGTGAGAGGAGAAAGAAAAGAGAATAGACTTGACTGATGTCATGCAGGACACATGGTAGATGAGCCAAGAAGAGGCCTTGGCTCTCCTAACTAGAGATGGCCACAGTAGAGCTTGCTTAATTATTACTTTTGGTCTTTTGTTTGATGATGCATTGAAGCAGCAATATTATTTATTTTAAAAAGTTCTGCTTCTTTCACTTTTTTATTGCTATTTTATTGTTGTTATTTTTAAAAACGTAATTCCTAGGAAGTATGGCTTGAGGCTCTAAAGGTTTATTTTTGTTGTGTCTCATTTTTTCCATTCTATGATTAGAACTTGGCAGAGAATGCAGAAATTAAATGAAAACACTCCGATCAAAACATTGTGCACATTGATATCGCTTTGTTCCTGGAGATGGCTGTAATTGAGAACTGTGAATATGTGGAAGGCCTTGAGCATGTGATCACATTGGACTGCAGGAGAAGAAAGGCTGGCTTAGTTTCTCTCTGTAGAAGGGTGCTTGCTTTTTCTTGTTGAATACACTAAAGCACTTTGATGTCAGGAGTTACTGTAGTAGGAGTGATTATTCCCTGTCTCCAAGCCTTATTGCAGAATCTTCATTAGCTTCAGCTGTGGGAGAGCCATGATATTACCTCAGCAGTTCATGCTGACTCACATTTCTCATATGTGAGAGGTCTGAGTTGGGCAGCAGTTTCCATGTCAGCATTGCTGGCACTTAAGTCAGGGCAGGACCTGCATTTACTGTATTTGGGTGTTTAACTTGGTGTGAAAGCCCTCGTAGCCCATCTAAATAGAAAGCTAAAACAGAAAAAAACCTTTCCTTTTGTTAACCATGGGGGTGAGGGCAAGGAGGAGATTTTCTCACCAGTGCTCTCAGTCTTAATAACTTTGAATAAAGTAGTCTGAGCCATTTGTGGTTCATGTACACATTGGTTATACTGCTGAAGGCTGGTTTTAATAAAAATGGGAGGTGTAACATCAAGAAATATATGGTATTTGTAGGGGCAGATCTTAGACTAGCATTTCTTAGAATCATAGAATGGTTGAGATCAGAGGGGACATCCGGAAACCATCTGGTCCAAACCCCTGCTTCAGCAGGGCCGCACAGAGCAGGGTGCCCAACACCATATCCAGGCAACTTCTGAAGATATCCAAGGAGGAGACTCTACTGTCTCTCTGGGCAACCTGTGCCAGTGCTCTGTCACCCACACAGTATAGAAATGTTGCCTGGTGTATAGACAGAATCTTCTGTGTTCCAGTTTGTGCCCATTGCCTCTTGTCCTGGCACTGGACTGAAAGGAGCCTGGTTCTGTCTTCTTTGTATTTTCCCTTCAGTTATTTAGACATATTGTTAAGTTCCACCTGAAGCCCTCTTCTCCAGTTCCAGAACACTGCAGTAAGTTTGTCTAGTAAAGAAGTCATAAACTCATGGTAACAAACTGGAGACATTAAAATAGAATTCAAGATAATTTCTTCTGCATTTTTTTTCTCCTTGTGCTTAGTTGTCTTTGTTTTAAATGTTAGTAACAATTTTCCACAGCTCTCTGGGATTTCATTCTTATGTAAGCTCAGTAATTGTTTAGTCTCCAACTCATATTTTCTTTCTTTTAATTTAGTTTGTTCATCAAATGGTAGAAATTATAAAGTAACATTTTTCTAATTAGTTATTTGAATATTATTTGGACCAAATAACTGCATCTTGAACCTCTGAATATGGGATCCTTTGACTCCATTGATTTGTTCTCCTCTTCCAAATGTTTAATGCTAGAATGAGAATATGGTATAGTTAAAAATATTATGTTAACTTCTTCCAGGGAAGAGGCTGTGTGAATGCATACTCTCAGATAAGAGTTATTTTCTTTCAACAATAGCCTCAAATTTACAGATTTTGGCTATTTCATACCCTCCGTGTCCATTCATATGTCAGGGGCAAGTATTTTGACGTGTATTCCTGAATGTGCTTGCATCTTGCTTGACAGTTTTGGAGCATGTTTTCTTTCCATTCTGCTGGGATATTAATACAAAATAAAAATAAAAATAATAAAATAAAAGACACATTCCCTTTAAATGAGTCTCTGAAATGTTCAGACATGCAGCCAGCTGTAAAACAGAAGGGTGCTTGAAATCACCAGGGCTAGGCCCTAAATATTTTTATGATTCTTAATCTAAACTTGCAGAGATCTAGAACAGGTTTAAGGATCTCTTAGAACTGAATTAAACACTTGCAATCGTGTTGTTTCACTGACTGGTTCTTTTTTTTTTTTTCCTCTGAAAATGGTCAGGTGTAATTTTCTTGCTAAAATATAAAAAACACGTAGTTGCAACTGAAATGTCAGGAGTATTTTGTTAGTGTGAATAGACAGCAGACTTTGGTGCAACTCAAAGGGAGCTCTTAAAACAGCAGGGAAAGAAAAGTGTGTATACATGCAGATATAAAAGAGAGGTCCAAAGAGTCTAAGGGAAGCTTTATGATGGGTCTGTTTCTGGGCAGGGCTCCAGTTTGCATTGCTCCTCTCTCCTCTTGAGCCCTAACCCTTGATTTAAGGGCATGGAGTTAATTCTAACATCTTATGCCTTGTCTCTGTTCCTCCAGGGGACTCCAACCTGCACTCCACTAACAGCCACACGTCCGTCACCCTGGGCAGCCTCCTAGATGACCAGCATTGGCACTCAGTTCTTATAGAGCGCTTCAACAAGCAAGTGAACTTCACGGTGGACAAGCACACTCAGCATTTCCGAACGAAGGGGGATTCAGATCACTTGGATATTGATTATGAGGTGTGTGAAGCCTTTTGGTTATAACCTGGGAGATGAGGCTGAACTGGTGTAACATGGAGAAGAGTGGGTAGAGACTATTCCCTTCCCTGTAGGAGTGGAAGACCCTGAGCAGAGCAGTCAAAATATCTGTCTATGACCTAGATCCATTCACATCTGGGGATGTGATGCTGAGTATCTGGCTTTAGGGAGCCAGAGCTGCACAGCCAAGGAAGGATCGAGCAGAAGAAACATGTTACCTGCCCAGCAAACCCAATGCTGGTGTGCTCCCCCACGATGAGGCCAAAGTGTGGGGAAAAAAAAAAAAAGTGCTGTTTGTATCACTCCAGCAATTCAGTTCTTCTGGCTTCTAGTGAAAAATACCCAAAAACAAACAAACAAAAACCAAAATACTCTAAAACAAACATAAATCCCCACCATTATCATCATATCTATATGCAAAACAGTTCTTCATCTTATCTGTTCCTCCTACGTATGTACACCTGCTTTCAAATTACTCATGTTAATTTTTATCCCCACACACTTGTCTACCAAGTCTTGCTAGCCCATAGGGCACAGGGTTATGCTTGCACAGTCAGAGCTATCACCTTGTTCGAAAGCGTTGAACTGGCATGGTTCATTGCTCTGAGATCAAAAGTTTCCTCTCTGCCCTTTGGATTCATTTCTCTTGAAAGACCAATTCCCAGTGTACCTTAGCGACAAACATTGATGGCTTGGCAGTGGCAGGTGCCTGCTCTTTGCTCCTCTCATGTTCCAGCCGAATTTCCCTTCCTTACATTTCTCAAAGTGCTGAAAACGGAGTCTGTCCACCTGTTAAAATAATAAAAATATTAAAATAATAGAGGAAGTAGGAGAAAGTTCGTAACCATTTGGGCAGTGAGATTCTGGAACAGCTACAGACTAAACTAGCCAGGATCAAAGCTATATCTGCTTTTAAGATGGAGTTGGGGAAAACCAAACACTTGAGTCATCAGCTTTCCTAATTCCAGAGTCATAAAATTCCTTGCGTTCTTCTGCAGGGTTGATGCCAGCTAGGGATAACTCAGGCTCCAGTGTAATTTGCAGAATATTTTTCTAGATGTTCCAAAATAGGAAGCATGGTGAAGATCTTCAACTGGTGTAAATCGGCATGTCAGCACTGACCTCTGTGACATGTTTTCTTTGCATTTGCACTGAAATGATCTTTCAATTAAACATTACAGCAATACATTCAACTGAAAGTTTATCTTAGCACACTTTGGGGATTAAAGGCCTCACTGAGGGTAATACAACCATTAGTTTTGTAATTAAAATTATTATCAATCACCAAACAAACTGTTTTTTTAATAATGCAGTGGTATAATGAATATTGATTTTTCTTCTGGTTTTGAAACCCAGTGCAGAGTCCCTGAGTAGGAGACTTAAAGAACAGAACATGAAAGAAGGAAAGTCTGGTGCTTTAAGGAAAAACTAATGATTCTTACTGGGGGAAAAAAAAAAAAAGAAACAAAACAAAACAAAACAAAAAAACATCACTACCCAAAAGCCCTCATGCCAATAACAAACCTGCAAGTGATATAAGATATCAGTCTGTTCACTCTTTATTTTTATGAAATGATCAATTAATACAACTGAGGCGCAAGTTCATTAAGGACTTGTTTTCAAAGAAGTGCTGTCAAGGTTATCCAGGGAGGTTTAATTTGCTTATTTATCCTGGCTTGCTAGGTGGAGTAGGAAGAAAAATAGCCCCCAAATTTCCCTTTACTTTTGTAATGATGAGCTGAGCCATTAGGAGTAGTGACAGAGGAATACGGCTGACCGCGTTCCAGCAGCCGTCAGTGTGCCTGCGGTGCCGCACAGTGCTGTGTGCCCGTGCTGCGATGGATGCAGCAGGATTGCAGCACAGCTTCGAGCACACTGGAAGCACTGAGAAGTGCGGTGGCTGCAGGATCTTTGCCCACATTGTGGGCAAAGCATTTGTGATGCTGCTGGCTGTAATGGAAAAAATGGAAGTAAACAAAAAAGCAGAGGTGCCACTGCCAAGATGTTGCAAAAAAAAAAAAAAAAAAAAAAAAAAAACAGTGAAGTTGATTAGATATGAGCTGTCTAATCTGGAAAAGGAAAATTGGCATATCATAAGCTTTGTTTTTGTGGTGTTCAGTCTTTTTTATTGTCTTTAGGATTCTAAAGCAATTGTGTTCCAAGGATTTGGGGAACTGTACTTCCTTAGTCTCTTTGTCCTCTGGAAATTTTAGCCCTCTACTTAAGTGATGAGTTGTAAACTGCACAATACTAACGTATTTCAGTACTTAGATAACAGCATAACATAAGTTTTGTTCAGTTGTGTAAACTGCTGTACTTTCCCATTACACTGTTCATTCCCAAATACTGTGTGTAAGTCTTATAAAGCCCAAATCATGGTGAAATTTAAGGCAAAACATTTGCAAGATGTAAATGGGGTAGTGTGTGTGTGTGCTACTACCCTCCGCTGGCTGAAAGCAGAACTGTTCAGATACATGGTGAGTGGAAAGGGGTAACGCTGGCTGTACACCCGGTGCTCTGTGAGCAGAAGGAATTTATTCCCCACATTGCTCAGTGTTTCCTGCTTGGTGACAGCCTCCAGGTCAGAGGAACCACAGGTTGGAGACCAGTTGAAAATTTGAGTGTTCCTGGTGGGGGACTGCTTATAGCAGGTTGATGAAGTGGTGTTTCATGGCACATAAAAGCCATTTCCAAATCACAAAGCTGTCTGCAGCAGCATTTCTCCAACAGCTGCAATACTACACTGTCTGTAACTGGGCCCTGCTCTGTGCTCAGAGATGATGCTGTTGGTGTGCTGCGTCCCTGAGATAACATCCCAGCTGGCTGTATGGAGCGGGGATCTGCTGTCTTCCTTTTGGGGTGGTAACTAACTGCAGTTCTTGTTCTTTCCAAAAGCTCAGCTTCGGAGGCATTCCTGTCCCAGGGAAACCGGGAACGTTTCAGAGGAAAAATTTCCATGGGTGCATTGAGAACCTTTATTACAATGGAGTCAATATAATTGACCTGGCAAAAAGGCGCAAACCTCAGATCTATACTGTGGTAAGAGACAACGATGTCTGTTTTCCTTCTTTACTTCCCTGTTGGTGCTGCTGAATGAACAGAGTTCAGACTTAGGTAGCTATGGGTATAATTAGCTTGTTAAAATTGTATTGCTGAGGCTAGCACCACCCAGCACTGACTGCTATGGTGGGACTTGTTGAAAGATACATGTATAAATTAATATATTTCTCTGACTTTCCAAGTATATGAGAATTTGGATCAACTTTTAATTTCCTTTTCCAAGATGAAGATGTGTCTTTCTGATGGCATGATAGAAGTCATAGAGAATTTTTTATGATTCTCAGATAAAATCCTACGTTTTGAGCCATTCCCCATTACTATTGCTGAGTAGTAAAACATTTTATTCTTCTGTGTGATTTGGTATTATAGAGACAAATAAATGTTTTTCTTACTAACAAAAGTATTTTCCTTTGTACCGCCCCTTATGTTCAGTGTGTTATTGGCAGTTTTGGAAAACATTGACCTGGTTCTAGTGTCTCTAAATGGGGGAGAGTGGAGTTGAAGTAAAAGGAATGTGTGTGTGTGTGTGTGTGTGTGTGAATTAGTCTTATCCAGCCTGCTAACATAGAGTGTACAAGTAACTTTGTATCTAACAGTGTCTTAAATTACAAATACGTTTAAATATATCACGGGCAAAATAAACTACATTTTATTTCATAAGAAAGAACAGTATACTCTCATTCAGTGTTCACAAATTTTGCATAATTCAACTGTTTGTTTAGCTTGTGCCTCACTCTCACACCATGTTTTAATATTAAGCCTTTTGGCTAATACTGTGTCTTTGGAGAACAAGGAGGCAAAACTGCTTCTGGCTTTCTTGGCATTTTCATAGAACAGACTGAAGCTGCAACAAAGAAAGCCCAAAGTCCAAGAGAAGTCCTTATCTTTCCTACCGTCCCTGCCTGGGACTAAACTGAATGCACAAGGAAATGGAAAACAGAAAGCTGGTAGGTGAGAGGTCCTGTACAGTGTTGTTGGCTGTTAAGACTCTGCTCCAGGATGCTCCCCTGGCTTGGGACTAAGAGACTGCTTTAATAACCTCAAGTTTGATTGTTCTGACTCAGGACTCTAAGGTACAAATCTTAGGTACTGTGTTAAATTGCTCTTCTCCTCAGCTTAGTTTTTAAGGGGAAGAAAAAGTCCGGGCCTTTTTCTTAGGTTGTTAGCTGTTTGTTTTGACAGCTTGGTAATGTGAAGACATTCCCCTTCATAAAGGGGAAAAGGAAAATTTTGTAATGTGTTTTTTCTCTGTTGGGTACTGTCTGGGGGTAACATATCCCTGAGCAATGAAACTCTTTTATCACAAGACTTAGTTCAGCCAATTCTAGATTGAAGGTCTAGGAATCTTGCTTCTCTGGTCAATTTAAAGTAAAGGGGAAGTGCCCCCATCCTTTGATCTCCCTCACAGAAGTGATGATTTTAAAGAAAAAGTTTTAATATGCTGGCTGCTCCACTGCATTTTGCAAGGTCTGTGAGCTGTTATGTTCTGTGTCTGTGACACTTTGTTTACACACAATACATAAAAACGTTGCCACAAATGTCTCATGTTCTTGTCTGAACATCCTTCTATAGCAAACAGCTCCTGCAAGTCTGGTGTCTTCCAGTATTCTTTCCATCACAACCATTTATCTCTGCTGGCAGTTTTCAGGTACTTCCAGCCATCACAGATTGATCTCCCTCTCCCGTCCTACTGCTCTTCTCGACCCCTTAGCAATTTACTTACTCAATTAAAATAATTTGTTCTTGCTAAATGTAGTCTTTTGTCTGCCAGATTTCCTTTGCACTAAATGCTTTTACTCCAAGTTCATTGAGGTTTTCAAGCAACAATCCATATCCCCAGGGAGCTACGAGCTTCTCCGCCTTGTGTCTCTGTAGTTGCTAAGGTTTTCTGGAGTGGAAATGCAATGAAAGGAACAGCATAGAAGTTGAATTAAATATATCAGGTGCTTTGAATCGCTTCTTCTAACAACCTGTTGTGTACTTATGTTTTGTCCCCTCAAGCTGGAGATCACCAAAGAAGGTTCTGCATGGTTAGTCCCCATAATATCTTTGTCTCTAAGAAAAGGTATTTGAGGACAACTGACCAATTTCAGATTAATGCTCAGAGACATTTTTTGCCTTCAAAATGGAAGCAGCCTTCAACATTCAATCTCTGTTTCATTCTTTGTCCATTTGGGAACATTGACACAGTTAGTGAGCCAAACTCATGGGTTATCATACCCACCAATTTTTGTTTGTTTGTTTTACTCTTGACATCTTTCACAGAATTAGGAGAATGATAAATCAGTTTTAGAGGTATACATTTTCTCTTATGAAGAAGTTCTTCACCCATATAAATAATGGTCTCACATCAGTTGCATTTAAAGTCAGAGGAAGAAACTACAGGTTGTCAGTGACAGAGTACTGCTCTGTGTCATACTCATGGGTGGTGGATGTGATTATCATTCTGCCTGTTCTTTTCTATAACTCATTTGCAGTTGTCAGACTTGCAATAAATCCCCCTGAGAAAACATCTCAAGATAATGAGGCAGACTGTCTCTTTTGAACTGGAATTTGCCTTCAGAATTTCCTTTTTGTATTGTCTGAAGTTTAACCCCTTTATGGCCATATTTGGCTAGGCTGTCTGTATTCCCCCTGGGTTTCTTCTGTCCCTGATGGCATCTTGTAGGGTTTTGTTTTGTTTTGTTTTACTTGTTTGTTTTTTCCCCTTCCCTAGGTCCTTTTGTGGCAAAATAGCAGTGGTTACTGGTTTTAATTGCAAGAGGTTTTTAGAAGTTAAATTTCTGTAATTACCAATGTTGTGGTCCTAGGGTTACACCCTTGGGGAGCCTTTGCAAAAGCTTTAAAATAAAATTTCAAGACCTTTCCTATCACTAGCTGCATGTAGGTTCTCACCACAAAAACAAAACAAAAACAAACAAACAAACAAAAAAAAGCAATTCCCATATGACGAATTGTACAGCTTTCACTCATTCTTCCTGGGCCAGTAGTTAGGGGCAAGAAAATATGATAGAAGGTGCACGTTTACAAGAAATAAAAGGTAGTTCTTCACAGAAGGATATTTGAGCTCTTAATTTCTGAGATGTTGAAGTCCCTGTTGAAGGATTTTGTGCATGTTAAGGGTAGATGTAGATTTAGGAGGAGACTGGACAAGGCCTAGCAAGAGCAATCCGTTAAGGAATTCCAATACTAAGTATGTGGAAACTATTTCTGGCTGAGGAATTAGTTCAGTGGAAACTAATTAAAGGCTCAGAGACTACTAGCAGGAAATATAGGGTATGTGTTTGCTGTTCTAGTACTCTTCTTCAAACAACTTTCTATAGGCATTGGTAAAGGCAAGATGGACCTTAGGTCCCAGTACAGCTGCCGTTATGTGAGGGTACAGAATTAGTTTTAAGATGATGCTCACAGAAGTGTCTGGTACCACTTGGCAGAGGGCTGGAGGGAAAGCCTGGGTTCATACAGATCTTACAGCTGAGAGTGGGTGAAGTTAAGGAGCTATAACTCTGTACTAAACCCAGGATACTCTGTCAGAGCCCTCTGGCCACTAGTGTCTACCTATAGCTCTATTCGGATTGTACCTTTAGAAACTGCTGTAATGTGAAGATCTGTGACCAGGGTTTAAGACTTTTCCTGTCTCAATGATTTTTGATGTCAAAATAGGAAGTTGTCTAGCTGAAGGAAAGAAATAAAGAGGTCATTAAAAACTGCAGTTTTGATCTTCTCAATGCTCCACCCTACATATTCACCGAAATTGTGGAAAATGCTATCCCATTTTTTCTTCCATTACCTTCGCTTAATATGAATTGGAGCTATATTTTTATTTAGCAGACTAAACCCTACACTGACTTGAGAGGAGTGCAGGATATTTGAAAAGCAGAAGTTGTCAGCCCTCAGATATTCTTGAATTTCTACATCAGCCTTCCATGTTGAATCTGGGACTGACAATTCAGCATGGCAAGGGATGAGATGACATGTAAATGCATCACTGTGGTGCCTCAGGGAAATAACCAATTGCCAGCATCAAAGAGCAAAGAAAGATACCTAGTGACAGAAGAATGTAAACTAATAATTCATTCCCTTTATAGAGAATCCAAACATGCTATTTTATTAAGCTGATTTGAGATACCTTCATCTTGAGAAGAGTTTGCTTGTCTACGCACGTCTTCTTCAACCAAAGTGCTCTTGTAAGTGTTGATATATGTATGAATATCAGGCTGGTAATTCATGAAGGCTTCTACTAGGGTTTGGAGAACCAGGAATTAGATATATAAGACATTTTTTTTTCTTGTTTAGTTTTACATCTGCAACTAGACTATAGGAAATATATATTAAAAAACAAAAACGAAACAAAACAACAACAACAACAAAAAAAAACTGTTTGCCGACCTTTTTTACAACTTCCTATAAGTCTAAGTTGAATTTATTTATTTATTTTAAATAAATCCAATTATTTGATGAAAGTGTGTATGTCACATGCACGTTAAAAAAAAAGAACAACTGAATTTGCTGTTCTTTTGACAAGGTGGATGAACTCAGATTCCAGGAATATTTGGTTCCTGTAAAAAATATCTTTTTATGCTTTCTTTTGTCTTTTTACCTGCTCTCCCAGTCTTCAGATGAGTCTCTTTCACATCATATCAGCAGTATAGAACAGCAAGAAAGTCTGTGTAAATAGCATTCATTTTAAGGTCCCATTTTATTGTTACTGAATGGTGTAACAAGATTGCTTTGAAAGAAATTAAGTGTGTCACCTCAATCAAGGCCTTGAAATAAATTCTATTTATATGACAATTTTCCCATTGATTTCACTTGGCTTTGTCTACAATTCTAAAGACTTTTTATTCTGTAAATATTTAATCCATCATCTGGCTGCAATAATAAACTCTTCTTCTTGATAAAAAGGTTTCTTTGTGTTAGGATTTTGATAGTTGTGATGACCACAAGAGAAATGAGTCTTTCAGGGACAGATACTATAT